TATATATATATATATATATATAGTAAATCAAGAGTTCATTAGTTCTAACTAGTTGCTGGCTCATTTCACCATTGGCAAGAAGTTGGCCATTTCTTTAAAATAGATTAGAGTTGGTTTTACATTAATTTGCCTTGTTTTCCGTAAAAAATTAGATTTTTTTTCATTAATTTAATTACCTAATCATTTCTAGTAATTAATAAAAGCGCTAGACAAATTTTAGGAACAATTGTAGCTTTATATTAGTTTCGTCATTTTAATTGATAACAACAACAATAAGAATAAGGTTATAAGTAAGTTCAATATTAACTAAGTTTTATACATTTTCTTACCACCACTAAGCTACAAATATGCACTTTCTTTTGCGACAAAAATGAACAATTTTTATTTTTATTTTATAATCTAACCCCTATAGTAGGTCGTCTTACCCAAGGTAAATAATTTTGTCTTAACCGATGTCGGGAAGACTCGCTTCGGAATAAAGACATAAATAAAATGTCAAGGTCGTGAGGACATGCCTTGTTCCTATTCTTTCAAATAAATAATTTTTTATTTAATTGCTTTCGAGCAGGCTTCAGTTTTAGGTGCGACGCACGAACTAAGATCGGGGATACTCGTCCTAGTTTAAAGTCAATAAAGTCATCAACAATAAAAGTTGTCATAGGCAAACATAAAATCAAATAAAGCACCGTTTTATCTAAAAATTAATTCAAGCCAATTCTAGTCAATAAAAGCGACCGTTCTAGAACCACGGGACTTGGGGAATGCCTTACACCTTCTTCCCAGTCAACAGAATTCCTTACCCGAACTTTGTTTTCGCAGACCAATAATAATAGAGTCAAACCTTCCTTCGACCAGGGATTCAAACAAAAGGTGACTTGGAACACCCAAAAAATCAATTCCAAGTGGCGACTCTGAGCAATAAAATAATCCCTACTCAAGTTTTGTCACTTTAATTGGAAAAACTCTTTAACCCCCAAATCCACAATATTCTTTTCGGGGTAGAAAAGGAGTGTGACGGTTGTGAAAAAAGAGAGTATTACTTGTTGTTTTCGTGGTGAAATTTTGGACTTAACAGCTAGTCTAGAATTGATTTTAGTCAATTTTAGTTGTTGTATTTAGGAGGGGTGTTATAGTTGAATTAGTGAAGATATTACCGTATTGTGCTTGAATTTCCTTAGGCCCCGTTTGGCCATACATTTTGGCACGATTTTTTCAAATCTTTTTTGAAAACATTGTTTGTTCATAGATTAATGATCTATTTTTGAAAAATTTCTGAAATTATTTTTCAAGTTCCCAAAATCTAAGCTAGCGTTTGGCCATAGATCTCAAATTTATTTTGAAAAATCTGATTTGGGTGAAGTTTGGTTTGAAGATGAAAATGTGTTTGGACATACGTTTTCAAAACATATTTTCCAACTTTATTTTGAAAAAACATGTATATAATTCCCAAGTTTTGGGATTTTGGCCCAAAATCAGCTCAATAGCTGATTTTGGGATTTGAGATTTGGAATACGTCCAAAATATGGGCAAAATTTATGGCCAAACATGATTTTTGAAAATAAATCCCAAATTTATTTTGGCAAAACTCATGGCCAAACGGGGCCTAAGTTTAGGGTAGATTTTTGGTGAAACTTGTTCTCCCACTCACAAAACTTCAAATATTTTTCAAATAAAATGCATGTCCAAACATAATTTCAACTTCCAAAAATTATTTTCAAAACTACTTCAAAAATTATTTTTTCAAGTTTCAACTAAATCTATCTCCAAACGCTAGCTTAATGAGAGATAGATATTTGCATCTTAGCTTGAAAAAATTGATATTTTCTTTATTTTTTCAATTGTATTTGTATTTTCCGACAATTTCAAGGAATTCAATGATCACAGTAAACAAATATCAAGATAGAAGATCTAAACAAGGTATAATGGCAATCTCGTTAAGAGATGAAAAGATGTGATGTTCTCTTTCATGAATATTCATTTAATCCTAGAAATAGTGGGGGTTAAAAAATTAGTAAAAAATGTGGCAGTAAAATTTTAATTCACAGATGATTGAAAATGAATTTCAACTAAGCAAATCTGATTAGTGTATCTATTCAAGTATTGAAATAATGCACATATTATTGTTTGACTAAATGTTGTGATAATCTTTGACTCTAACATGATTCCTACTATATAAGAGAATTTGACATGAAAAAACTCGGTATGGCGATTTTTATTCTTGAAATGAAGATTACCAAAATATGTAATAATAATTTTTTTTTACCAGTCACATTATTAATCGGTGTATTATTAATCATTGCATAATTTATCTCTAAATCAAACTAGCTCTTAAGGGGTCGTTTGGTTTGAAAACAAGTTATGCTGGGAATAGTTGTGCTCAAATTAGTTTTGCTGAGATCAGTTATTTCGATATTATTTTTTATTGATTGTTTGGTATGTTGTATTAATCCTGAGATTGTCAAAGTTACTCTTTATCTTGATATAACTTATTCTGGGATTAGTATTCTACACTCCGACAGATATAATCCTAAAATAACTTATCTCAATATTAGTAATCAATCAAAGGATAAGACAGTACTAAAATTGTTATCCCCAAATTATTTTTTCTTGTCCGTCATACCAAACGACCCCTAAGTAATTTATTTTAAACATAGACTACTAGTGCACCCCTGCTGTAACCCCCTAACAAAAATCATCGAAATCTCCTCCTTTCAGTCTCAACCTATCAATCCCTATATAACAAAGTGCAAAGCGTGACATACTCTCTCTCTCTCTCTCTCTCTCTCTGCTTTCTTCAATTTTCCTTCACACCTCCCACACAACCAGATAGAGACAAGAAAGAGAGATTCATGGAAATGCCCAAGAAGAATTACTCTTTTGGTTTCTGTTTTATATAATGAACAACCAACAAAATTTCTTCTTTTCTCAAAGAAGATGGGAATACAACAAAATGAGCATAATCAAAACCAAACCCAATCTTTCCTTTTAGATGCTCTTTACTGTGAAGAAGAAAGATGGGAAGAAACACTTGAAGATGAGATTTTAGAAGAAAAAACTAATTCATTTCCTCTACCTTTACTAGAACAAGACTTGTTTTGGGAAGATGAAGAGCTACTCTCTCTTTTCTCAAAAGAAAAAGAAACAATTTCCAACTTTAACACTATTAAAACAGACCCTTTACTTTGTTTGGCTCGTAAAGAAGCTGTGAAATGGATTCTTAAAGTAAATGCTTATTATGGATTCTCAACATTGACTGCTATTCTTGCTATCAATTACTTTGATAGGTTTCTTTCAAGTCTTCATTTTCAGAAAGATAAGCCTTGGATGATTCAACTTGTAGCTGTTACTTGTCTTTCTTTGGCTGCTAAAGTTGAAGAAACTCAAGTTCCTCTTCTTTTGGACTTCCAAGTAATCTCCTTTTTCTATCCCGTTTTTGCTTTACTTGCCAATCTTGAGTTTCTCCTAGTCTTATTAGTGGTAGTGTTTTTTTTTTTCCACCCTGGCGTCCGGTACTTGTATTGGAGCCTGACTATATCCAGATTTGCGTCACATAGGATTCCATTTAGGAAAGCGCTCCCTACAAAAAAATTTTTCATACCTAGGTTTCGAACCGAGACCTTTGGTTAACGGAAAAGTAGGTCCATCCACTGCACCACACCCTTTATTATTACATGTCATTTGCTTTCGTTACCCTATTATATTATTGCTGCTATTATTTGTTGCTTTGGTTTTAATGTTCTTTGAGCCGAGGGTTTATCAGAAACAATTCCTATCTTTATTGGATAGGGTAGCGTCTGCATACATATTACCCTCCCTAAATTCCATTTACAGGATTACACCGGGTTTGTTATTGTTATTGTTACCAATCTTCTTGAGAATTTCATTACAAATAATTCTAGTGTTTCTTTTGATTAATTATTAGGTGGAGGATGCAAAATATGTGTTTGAGGCCAAAACTATTCAAAGAATGGAGCTTTTGTTATTGTCCTCTTTGAAGTGGAGGATGAATCCTATAACCCCACTTTCATTTCTTGATCATATAATAAGAAGACTTGGACTAAAGAGCCATATTCACTGGGAATTTCTCAAGCAGTGTGAGAGACTTCTACTATTGGTCATAGCTGGTAATTAATTCAGCTCGTTCTTTTTTGTAACGGTTGTTGAATACTTGAATTTCATTGGGTAAAGATTAAATCTTTCGATAATAACAAGTAAATTGAAGTAACAGAAGAAACCCCTCTTGATTTTTTTTGACATATTTTGTTTAATACAGATTGTAGATTCCTAAGTTATATGCCTTCTGTATTGGCCACTGCTACTATGCTTCACGTTATTCATCAAGTTGAGCCTTGTAATGCTGTTGACTACCAAAATCAACTTCTTGAGGTTCTCAACATTAGCAAGGTCTGTCTTTCTATAAATCTTCCTCTATTTTTTATGCTAATACTTTTGTTTTCTATTCGAATTTGTATCAAAATATTTGATGTTTTAGAAAATAAGAAGTATTATTACTCCCTCCGGTCCAATTTATGTGGCAGCATTTAAATTTTGAGAGTAAACTTCTTGATTTGATTGTTAATTTGGATGTAGAATCTTTAAAAAGTACTACTATCAGTCACAACTATTAATAATTTAAAATATTTAAAGGTCATATGATAAAAATACAGTCAAAAAATAATTTGTTTGACTTTCGAAATACAAATGGTCTCACATAAATTGAGACAGAGGTAGTCCTGTTTTTTTCAAATTCATTGTTACTGCTCCAATTGATGAAGTGTTAATCAAGCGAGACGTTTAAGAGAGATAAGATACTCTAGACAATAATTCATATGTTTAAAGTTACTAAATATATTTGATTTAAAAAGTGTACAAACAACAACAACAACAACAACAAAAAAAAAAAACAGTATAATCTCACAAGTGGGGTCTGGGGAAGGTAGTGTGCACGGAGACGTTACCCTACCTTGTGAAGATAGAGAAGCTGTTTCTAATAGCCTCTTGAAAAATAATATGAGTATGAAGTACTAGTAATATTCTTTGAAGTTTCATCCTCCTTGGTTAAGATAAGAATGAAACAGCTATTAAATGCTCAAGTATACTTTGGGAATTAAATTGAATCATTTACATTTCTGTACGCAGGAGAAGGTGAATGATTGCTATGAACTTATAACAGAGCTATCTAACAACTCTGTTTCACACAAGCGCAAGTATGAGAGTCCAATAAATAGCCCAAGTGCTGTTATTGATACATTTTACAGCTCTGAAAGCTCAAATGATTCATGGGATTTGCAAACTTCTTCCACCTATTCACCTCATCATCAACTTTTGCCTTTGTTTAAGAAAAGCAGAGTTCAAGAACAGCAAATGAGATTGACATCTTTAAGCAGAGTTTTTGTGGATGCTGTTGGTAGCCCTCATTAATACTATCAACAATTTATTATTTATAGTGCTATCCGTCCCCGGACCCTGTGTAAATATTTTATGCACCGACCTGCTATTTTATTATGTCCTTTTTGAAAAGAGGGGAAAGAAGAGAAGAGTTGGTGGTAGTGGTTGCAGAGGGTTGGTTTTTGACAGCACAAAGGGGAGAAAAAGAAAGGGTAGTAAAGACAAAAGAAGCAATGAAGAATATCTGTACTCTGTTTTTTCCTAATTCATGTCAATTTTTCTTAGGTCCTTGTCATGCATATTTTAAGGTGGACATATTTTGTTTACATCTCTTGCTCCACTCCAATTCCTTGATAACATATATATATATATATATATATATATATATATATATATATATATATTATGTTTCAACACCCCCCTCCCCACACCTTGGTCCGGTGCATTCTGCCCCTCTTCTGGGGCCCACATCAACCACGGGCCTGGCTCTGATACTATGTTTAATAAGTTTGGGTCTAATTCACACCTCAAAAACTAGATCAAAGAGAGAAGAATTGCCCGAATCCTATAAGTAGACTAGGGATTTCATTCCTGTGCGATGTGGGATTCATTTCATTCATCACAACATTCGACTTGAAGTTGAACGGATAAATAGTATTCAAGTTGGAAAAAAATGTGAAAGTTTGAAGTAGTTTTTGAAACATAAAGTTTGACCCAAAAGAAAAGACAAAAAAAAAAAAAAAGAATCTTGTCAAAGTTAAAAATTGTGAGTGAAAATCAGTATCACTTGAAATACACTTGAAGTTCAGAATCTGCAAATAATTATGGTCAAATTAGTACTTGCAAATATATTTGATTTATGCCGTGCGTTTATTGACTTTTTCAGAATACCAACTCATAGACAATTAGAGGCTGTTTGGAAAGTCATCGTGTAATTGGAATTGGTGTAATTATACAGTTGTGTAGTTACGACGACATGTTTGTTTGTCATAGTGTAATTACAGTGTAATTACAAGTTTACTGTTTGGTTGCACAAGTGTAATTATACAGTTAGATTAAATTTTAAATTAAGTAATTATCAAAACTTAAAATCTAATATAATAAATATTACGAGGTGTAGATTCAAAAATTGAATAATAAAATAAATAAAAAATAAAATATAAGCAATCACATGAAATCACGAAAAGTAAAGATAGAGAAATAAAAGATAAATAATGTACAAAGAAAAATATATTTGAAAATTTCAAAAGAAATTAAAAAGTAAAAATAAAAGTAAAAACTTAAAATAATAGAAATAAAAAGTATAAATAAAATAAATTAAAATAAAAACAAAAAGGAAAGAAACTAAAAAACAACATTGTAATTACACAGTGTAATTACCACCAATTCTCACCTCTCCTTGAGAATTGGTTAGTATAATTACATCCCTCCAATTACATCCAATTCCTTAATGTTTTCTATAGTGAAGAGTGTTGTTTTATCTTTACTTGGAGCGTTAAGTATAAAGTCATTTTTGATAAGGAGACTTTACCCTCCAAAGTAGGATTTTTTGGACGAATTCGGATTAATTTGGCTCCAAAATACTTTATGTGGAAAAACCTCCATATTCAAGAATATGAAATCAAGATATGGACCCACACTAGAACCAGAAGCCTAATATGACCTGGTGTTACACTGCTACTAGAATATGGGACAAGTACATAAATCCAAGACTCCAAGGTTTATGGCAGAAAATTATTTCCAGAACATATCTGATAAGGGAGGGAGATTTTGTTTGTATGTGAAGTGTGAAGGGGAGACAAAAGGGTTTTGTTTCTTTGTTTGGAATTTTTAAAGTTAGTAGGGGGCTATTATATACGTGTCTGTCTGTATGTCTCTGTCTTTGTTTATGTCGAATTTTACCTCAGTTCCACCCTCAAATTACTTTAAATTGATTACATTGACCTTAAAAAGTCTTAACATTATAGATTATTAAAAAATCAATTAACAAGTATTCAAAAAATTAATTACAAGTATCCGATCACCTTGAAAAGAATGAGGTGGTCCACTGTAATCATATTATACCACTAATTTACAATTGTTCAGAGGAAGATCTAAGATTTTTATAACATGAATGCACCGCTAAAGAAAGGAGAAAAAAAGATAGTATTAAGTGGGAATAGATCTCTGCCCCTCTAGGTAAAAAACTAAGCATTCAACCAAATCTACCATTTAGCCCCTTTAGAGCATGGGTGCCAGTAGATAATATTAGATCGATCCTAGCAAATATGTACATAAAATACCTAATTTAACGAAAAAACCACGATTTCATGTGCCCCATATAATAGACTATAAATCCACCCCTGTTCAAAGTGAATGAGTGTAATAGTTAGAAACTAGAATTCCTTCTGTTTCAATTTATGTGGTCCATTTAAATAAAAGAGCTTTGTAAATTTAAAAATAATTTAATTTAAACTTTTTATTTTATTCTTAATGAAGAGATTTCAATATTACAAAATATTATGAGATGTTTAAGATTATACATTTTAAAATTTTTATAAACACACAAATGCATATTTTGTCACATTTATAACCACAGATTATTTCAAAAATATTGCTATCTTTCTTTTCCTATTCAAATTTTGCCATATAAATTGAAACGAAGAGTGTAATAATCAGTAAGAAAGGAGAGTGTAGAGTGTAGACTTGCATGCAGTTTTTACTTGTTAGCACTTCCAATGAAAAAGCGAAGAAAATTAAGCAGCCTTAGGACCCTTGTCGGGAATTGGAAATACAAAAAAGTGCTACACTATTTCGAATAGAGTTATTGTCATCTCACAATTGCGTGCTGGACAACATGATCGATCACCTGCAGCAAAGTAATTTCGTTCCTAAGTTTTTTATTTCTAAAGGGAACTCCAAATCACTAGATATATATGCTATTACGGTCCATATTATATACAGTATTTTTTAAAGATTTTTCCCATGATCCTTTAAGAAAGACATTAAACAATAGTCTAATCATAGGATTGATTCTCTGAAATACTAGTACTTATTTCTCTGTTAAATGTCCCACTTAATTATATCTATAGTACTTCATTAATTGAGATTTCAAGGGTGAATGTGAAAAGAAACCTCTTTTTTCTATTTAAATAAAACGTCAAAAACAATTAAATTCGTCATTACAATTGATATTTGTCACCGAAAGAAGTATCAAAAGTAAAAGTCGTAATGTGGTAGTAATAAAGTGCAAACTATATGGATTTAAATTTATATAATATAAAACCACACCCCTTTATCTGGCTTTTGAAAGTTGCACGCTTTTTTCACGTTTTATATCCACTAATATTTTCATGGAAAAAGAAAGTGTTTTTTGGCAAATCTCTCCTCTAAAATAGTAATGTTCTTCCCTTTGCCTGTAATTGTCTAGAGTTTCCCGTCTTCCACAAACTTTTTTTCTGCTTAACTGTAAAGCTGATAAGTTTAGCATTATCAACGGACCCATTAAATAAATACACAAACACCCAAATTGACCTTTTGTTGAATTCATGTCATATATATGGGCATATGATGTAGTAAAGGTGATTCTTATTTGATCTTTACAGAGAATTTAAAAGTTTTTTTTTTCCTTTTGGCAAACCTCACACCTCAGTTATATATGATGCTAATAATGCTATTTGTACTAGCAAGTATTACGTTCATTTATTTGTTGGCACATTAACGATACCAATTATTGTGTATGCCACATACGTGAGTACTTAGTTTGGTCGTTGGAAGCAGGTGAGCAGCTATCCAAAAAAAAAAAAAAAAAACTAATTAAGCAAAAAATTAGCGTACGTAATTAGTTAAAAAAAAATTCCGAATGCTACTTCTTTTTCGTTTTCGATTTATATAAAACAGCCAAATTAATAGTACAACTTCACCTTAATTATACCAAATGTTATGTTCAAGTTGAGGTTGAAGAATCTTTTGACAACTATGGCAGTAAAAAAATAAGCTTAAGTTCAACGTGCTTATTAGAGACTAAACATATATGCTATCCATGATACTTATATTTAGGTGAAATGTTTTAATTATAGGCATGTCTCGTATTATGAGAGGTCAATACAAAAATCAAGTACTACTTTCTAAAATATCAGGATGGTCATCAATCAATCACTCTTTTTTCACATATATAATCTATAGGAATTATGAAAACCAACTAATCACCGGAAAGAGGCGGATCCAGGATTTTTATGCGACGGGGGCAAAGTATTCTGCTCAACCAGTACCCCTAAAGGCTTTTAATGTTTAGGATACTAAGTATTTTAAATTAACCATTTTCAAGATATATACGAGATTTTTGTTGAAGCTTACGGGGTCCGATTACTATTGAGAATATAGTCATGAATCAGTATTGTATAGCAGTATTGTATAGTATTTATTCTTGTACTAGTGCTGAGTCAGCACTACCTTTAGTTAGTGATTAGTGGTTAGTATTACAATAGGTTAGTTGTATATATAGTGAACAGTATCAGATATTTTTGGTTGGTTAATGTTCATAATTTCAACTTAACCGACTTTAACATCTCCTTCTTTCCTCTCTTTTCGAGAAGCTTCTGCAACCTCCATTGGAGGTAATTCAGAGCTTTCTTCACTCTTAATCTCGACATGGTATCAGAGCGGAGGTCCGATCAACCACCACGCCTCATCTCTTTCTACTGTTTTTAGTCATTGAAGTGATCTAGGGTTTCGTTTAACTTCCTTCGATAATCACAATTTGGGGAAAACTTGAATCGGACACATGCAGTGGCGATCCGTCAGCGAATTGAAGAAATCTCAGCTGTACGAAGAATATTCCAACTATTATTCACAAATCTCTCATAAAATCTCCATGGCGGTTACAGATCAAACTGATGAAGCGACCACAACCACAGCGGCAGCGACGACACAGACCACAATCGATGCTGGGAGTCCCCTTTACATACATCCTTCCGATAGCCCGGGATCCAGTCTAGTTCCAGTACCTTTTGATGGGATTGGATATCGTTCCTGGAGGAGGAGCGTGCTCAGAGCCCTTTCAGTGAAGAACAAGTTAGGTTTCATTACTGGAGATACTGAGAAACCGGTTGTGAATTCTCCACTCTTTCGTCAATGGGAAAGGTGGGATGATATGGTCACCTCGTGGATCTAATTCCTAATCAAAGGACATAGCTGACAGTGTTGAGTATGTAAACGATTCCGTTGAGCTGTGGAAGGAGCTGCAGGATCGGTATGATCAGACGAATGGGGCTAAGCTGTACCAAATTCAGAAGGAAATCAACGATTTGAGTCAGGGTGTGCTTGATATCACCGGTTACTACACGAAAATGAAGAAACTCTGGGAGGAATTGAACACTCTTAGTGTCAAAGCTCATTGCAGTTGTATATGCACTTGTGGGGCGAAGGAGAACATGCATAAGGCAAAACAGGATAGGAGGCTCGTACAGTTCCTAATGAGGCTCAATGAAGTGTATACGGTTGTTCGAGGAAGCATACTTATGATGAATCCCTTTCCAAACATGGCACAGGCATTTGCCCTCCTAATACAGGAAGAGAAACAAAGAGAATTTAGGCCCAGGAACCAGCTGAATATCGATTCCACAGCACTAAATGCGAACCTAGGAGGAAAGAATTTCAAGACAAACTACTCTACTGGAACTGGAAACCAAGCTGCAAACAATAGAGCTCAACCTTTTTGTGACTATTGTAAACGACAAGGCCATACTAAGGATAAGTGCTACAAGCTCCACGGTTATCCTCAAAGTTTCAATCAAGGACCACAACAACAGTATAGGCAAGGTGCACAAGGGTACAATAACAATACAAAGTTCAATAAGGGAAGAATTGCCACGACAAATGCAGTCACAAATGTAGAGGAAGGGGAGAAACTGGAGCTTGAAGGAGAGAGTCAAAGTCAGAATGTCAGTCTTACAAAAGAACAGTATGGACAAACTGTTAGCTTGTTGCAACATTTTCAAACAGCAAGCATTGGAGAAGGTTCAGCTAGTGCAAACATGATTAGTGGAGCATCAATGAGCTTTGCAGGTATGATTGCTTGCACTTCTTCAATTGATTTTGACAATCCATCATGCAAATATTTTAGTGCAAAAGCTGACTTATGGATATTAGACTCCGGGGCATCACACCATATGACTTTTAATAAATCTCACTTGCAAAACATAGTAAGCCTACCTTATCCTCTATTGGTCAAACTTCCAAATGGTTACAAAGTCAAAGTAAGTGAGGTTGGAAGTGTATCCCTAACACCTGAAATTATCCTGTACAAAGTTCTATTCATTCCATCGTTCAAATTTAACCTAGTGTCTATTAGTTCCTTAGCAGTTCATTTAAAATGTATTGCATCATTCTCAGACACTTCCTGTCTACTGCAGGCCCCTTCACTGAAGAGGCCTCTGGAGATTGGTAAGTTGCTGGATGGTTTGTATTTCCTTTGCTCCAAGTGCCTGAAGAAAGGTGGTCTTAAACAAAACTATGATCCTTCTTGTCTTTCCATTCACACTAATGATGTAAAGGGTGTGCACTGTCTATCCCACTCTTTCAATTCGCTTCCAATTGTAAATAGTTCCATCTACAACAGCAAGAATAAAGACAGTGATTCTGCTTTGTTTTCTGATTCATCTCCTACTGCTAATCTAGATATATTGTGGCATTTCAGACTTGGTCATGTACCCTTTAGTAAAATGAGAGGGATTCCTACTATACCTGCAACTTTTTCTACAAACAACCTTTCATATGTAATATCTGTCCCATGGCCAGACAATCCAGACTTTCTTTTCCCCAAAGAACAACTGAAACCACTGCAATCTTTGAAGTACTTCATGTAGATCTATGGGGACCCTTTCATGTAACCACACACAACAATTTCAAATACTTTCTAACTTTGGTAGATGACTACAGTAGGTCCACTTGGACACATCTCCTGAGCTGCAAAAGCAATGCCCTACAGATAATAAAGGCTTTTACAACCATGGTAGAAAATCAGTTCAAAACAACTGTCAAATGTATAAGATCTGATAATGGTTTAGAGTTCAGCAGCAATGAAGCAACCTCTTTCTTTCAATCCAAAGGAATTAACCACCAAAAGACTTGTCCCTATACACCACAACAAAATGGGGTGGTGGAAAGGAAACACACATATCTACTTGAAGTAGCCAGAGCATTACTTTTTTAATCCAAATTGCCATTGAAATATTGGGGAGAGTGTATTCTTACAGCAACATACTTGGTCAACAGACTTCCAACCATTCCCCTAAAGAATAAGTGTCCTTTTGAGCTTCTATATAAAAAGAAACCAAATTACTCTCATTTGAGAAGTTTTGGGTGCCTGTGCTACCCTACTGTACCAAAGCCTTTCAGAGATAAACTTGAACCAAGAACCAGTCCACATGTATTTGTAGGGTATCCTTTTGGTACAAAGGGGTACAAGGTATTAAGTCTGGCCACTAAGAAAATACACATTTCTAGAGATGTCTCATTCCACGAGTCAATCTTCCCCTTCACTCTTAACTCCACTACATCTGATATTCCATCCGTCTTTCCTAATACACCATTCTTTGAGAGTCCTCCTGATCACACTGACATCCACTTGTCTCACAACATTAGTGACAATGCCAATAATCAGGAAAACAACAATTCTCCAAGCTCTAGTACACCACCTGCTGCTTCCTCACCTGTACCCTCTGTACATGAACACCAAATTCCAGTAGAACAATTATAAAGTGTGGTCTCATCCCAACAGTCACTAACAGAACCACTAGGCTTTAGAAGATCCAACAGGGAACACAAACTACCCTCACATCTGAATGATTATGTTTACAAAATACCAAACCTAAAATGCACCACTAATTTTTCCTTGCATGCCATGTTCTCCCATAACAACCACATCACTTCTAATGCCCTACATCCTGATAGTCAGCACATTGTAGAGAATATTTGCAATGATAGAGAACCAACTTCATATGAAGAAGCTGCTGTATATCCTGCCTGGCAGAATGCCATAACAGAGGAGTTTGAGGTTGTGTATGCTAATAAGACATGGGATCTGGTTCCTTTACCCGAAGGAAAATAGGCCATTGGGTGTATAAAGTTAAACATAGGGCATATGGTAGTGTGGAAAGATACAAAGCAGGGTTAGTTGTTAAAGGATACACTCAACAAGCTGGTGTAGATTATACAGAAACCTTTTCCCCAGTGGTCAAGATGACCACTGTGAGGTCTCTCATTGCCATAGCAGCAAAGAAGAAATGGCAAATTTCACAACTGGATGTGAATAATGCATTTCTCCATGGAGATTTGCATGAGGAGGTCTATATGCAGACTCCTCCAGGCCTTGAAGTATCTTCCCCACAGTTAGTGTGTAAGCTGAATAAGTCTTTTTATGCGTTAAAACAGTTCAGTAGGCAGTGGTATGATAAGCTAACTGAGGTGTTATATTCCAGAGGGTATACACACTCCATGCATGACTATTCCTTGTTCTACAGAAAACAAAATTCCTCCATTGTCTTTGTAGTAGTGTATGTAGATGATGTGTTGCTCACAGGGACTGATTCTGAAGAAATTGATCAGCTTAAGGCCTTCTTGCATGATAAGTTCAGAATCAAGGATTTATGATAGCTACACTACTTCTTGGGTCTGGAGATTCTCTATGAACCAAATGACATTATTATTTCTCAAAGGAAGTTTGTTTTGGACTTGTTAAAGGACTATGAGTGTCTTCAGTGTCCATCCCTGACTTCTCCCCTTGATTTCACAATCAAATTGAAAGCTAAAGAAGGAGTACCATTATCTGACCCCACTTTCTACAGAAAATTGATTGGTAAATTGAACTTTCTCACTAATACCAGACTAGACATAGCATATGGAGTCCAACATCTTAGTCAGTTTATGCAAGATCCCAGGGAGCCCCACTTAAAGGCAGCTTATCACATGTTGAGATACTTGAAGAGAGATCCCACTATGGGCCTCTATTTCAGCAATAAAGATGATCTTTCCCTGGCTGCCTACTGTGATTCTGATTGGGCAGCTTGCCCAGACTCAAGAAGATCAATGTCTGGATTTATTGTGTTCCTGGGAGGAAGTCCCATTAGTTGGAAATCCAAGAAACAAGAAACCATCTCTCTTTCTTCAGCAGAGGCAGAATATAGAGCTCTTAGAAAAGTTGTTGGTGAGCTTGTTTGGTTGTCCAGGCTGCTTGAAGAGCTTACTGTGTCAGTCAATCTACCTATACCTGTACATTGTGATAGCCTTTCTGCTCTACATATTGCTATGAATCCTGTATTCCATGAAAGGACTAAGCATATTGAAGTCGATTGTCACTTTGTGCATACCAAACTTCAAGAGGGGCTCATTTTACTGCATCACATTGGCACTGGACAGCAACTTGCAGATGTGCTCACTAAGGCTCTTACTGGGATCAAACACTGCTCTGTACTTAGCAAGTTGGGTGTGATTTCCTCACGTCCAACTTGGGGGGGGGGGGGGGGGGGGGGGAGGTATTGAAATATAGTCATGAATCAGTATTGTATAACAGTATTGTATAGTATTTATTCTTGTACTAGTGCTGAGTCAGCACTACCTTTAGTTAGTGATTAGTGGTTAGTATTACAATAGGTTAGTTGTATATATAGTGAACAGTTCCAGATATTTTTGGTTGGTTAATGTTCATAATTTCAACTTAACCGACTTTAACAGCTCCTTCTTTCCTCTCTTTTCGAGAAGCTTCTGCAACCTCCATTGGAGGTAATTCAGAGCTTTCTTCACTCTTAATCTCGACAATTACTCTTCACTATAACACATACGTACGCCTCTGACTAGATTTCAAATTCAACATGGCTATTGCAATTGTAGCGTCATAACTATTAGACTCAATTACTTAATAGAAGTTTTATATTTGAATTTTGGATATGAAATCACCTTTATTAGGAAGCGTTTTACTCGAACGTGAAACTTTTGGACTGGACGCAAATATGGTGTCAGCCTAAATGCTTGGGAAATAAAAAACCAAGTAGAATCTGGTCTCTCCCCCTAGGGACATAATAAATTCATCACTTAATTAGCGTGGCTAGAGAAGTAGAACAAAAGTTTTTTTTTGAGGCCTCGATAATTTTTGAAGGACCCTACATATATATAGTAGCATCATAGACAAGAGACCCCAACTGGCTCACACATATTGCACAATCTCCTCGTGAGTTAAATTATTGTACTCCAAATGATTATTGATATTGATATGCTGCTCATATTTTGTCCTTCCTACTCTCAAAAACATCGGATTCAAATTCTGGAATGCACAACTTTCTAGTACAGAGCGCTTTATTGGGCGTATCTAACTCGAATCTGAATTAGTTAATTCAATGGGTTCTAAACAATGAATGCTTAAACAATTTCACGTTTTTAATCTTTTAGCTAGCAAAATTTCGTTAAAGTCACCAGATTTTAATTATTAACCATGTGACCGTGTAATCAGGGGCGACTCTAAGGCTTTAGGCAGTGAGGCCGTTGACTTAGGCCCCCAAAATTTATTTTAAATTATTATTATTATTATTATTATTATTATTATTATTATTATTATTATTATTATTATTATTATTATTATTATTATTATTATTATTATTATTATATACTATAACAACATACCCAGTATTATATAGTACTATATAATTTATATAAATAATTAGTATAAAAAGTATTACAATATATTTTTTGTTACTCGATTGAGGTTATTTTATACCAATAAATGCGACGCATCCACCCTTTTCTCCTCTAGTTGGAGCATCTTTTCTTCATATTTTTGCACTCCAAATATCCTAAATCATCACACATAACTTAATTAGTTATAAAACTAATAATTAACATATGTTGGGCATTTTAAACACCAAATAGCACCAAAAAGCGGTTAAAACATGGGTAAAGTAATATTAAAACTTATAGAAATATGCCCAACATCAATATAGTAGGGGAGTCCTATATTAGGTACAACACTATAAAAGGTAAAAATCTCCTAATTAACTGATTGCTGATCTCACGTCGACATATGCCGAGATCTCCTTCGTGATATTCGATTGGTTACGGATATCACGACCTTCTGTTGGCCGAGCTTGACTACCTGACAACGTTCTTCGAAATTAATCAAGGCCAGGATCAATCCCGAATCATGTCCCTGATATCCTCGAGGGCGGGTGTTATGGTCTGGACTCAGAATTGATGAGATCCCTACCTCGGTCTAGGCCCCCGATTACCATGTCTCGAGCTTGGCCTATCATGTCGGAGACCGGCATGTACTACGAGACCGGTTTTATCCGTATACAGATAGTCCCCTCATTTTTTAGACGACGAAAACGACATGAGCTTCCGATTCTAACTTCGATACCACGCGTCAGAAATGACAAAATGAACGAAACGTCTCATTAGTCAAGTCTTAATGGCATTAAATGCTCGTCAGTTGCCGGTCAGCCACTCCTGGATGCGAACCGCCGTTAGAAAACTATAAATACCACCTCATTTGTTCATCTTAACTTTACATCCAAACTTTCTACCCTTGTTACTTAGAAATATCAATGCTTTCTGTCACTTATATCCTAGTTTTTTGAGATCTTTGTTAGAATATTTGCTCGTCTTCACCCTAAACCATCAAGTGTACTCCTTTAAATTCCTCTTTTTCCTCCTTTTCCTCCTTTTCCTTCCATTTTAAAAGATATGGCAAAGACTTCAAAAGAAGTTCCCTAAAAAGAAACTCATTCTACATCGCGGCCGGTTGTCGAGGAGACCTTCCGCGTACTGCTGTCGAGAACCAGTAGTGGAACCCCCCTTGAACACGTTCATCCCTGGT